TAATCTCACTCACAGGTAACACTGGTTCTGGTTCTACTTGCTGCAGTTTGCGTTTAACACCTGTCTGAGGTGGTGGGGGTGGCATAACAGATTCATCCAGGTTGGTTCTGCTGCCTTCCATCATTGATTCTTGTAAACGACTTGGTTCTTCCAGAATAGGTTCATCTATATTCCACAAGAAACTCAGTTTTAGATACTTAGGTACAGTTTCAAAGTACATTACTAAGTCCAATCTGCTATTAATTTAGAATTCAGCATTCTTAACAGCCTGTGTAGCTTTCGCAGTGACTTTAACAGAATTGGTACAGATGTGCATATAACCCAATCCAATACTAATTTAATCCACTGGATCAAAAATGAATCTAAGTGTCTTCTACTTCTAGGAAAAAAAAGCTATTTTAAGTCACAGACTGTAAACAACCATTATAAAGCTCTTTGGTTCATTTATAATCTTTGGTAACTTAATATAAAGTACAAACAAAAGAGAAAAATAAGCTCTGAGGGATAGCAGAGCATCTTTGACAAGACACAAACCAATGACATCTCGTTGCTGCTGTTGCTGTTGTTGTTGCTGCTCCTCTCTAGGAACCTCTGGGTTTTCAAAGTCTTTAAGGAACTCATCAAGGTTGTCAGCTTCTCCACCTTTCCTCCTCTTTCTTAGGTCTTCTGGTACCAGGGGTGTAAGACAACGAGTAAAGAGCTACAGGGAAAAGGTTACATTATTCACTACTGTAGTTCTCAGTGTCTTTAATTTCATTTCAGATCTAGCGATTATGGGTCATCTTCCTTTCCCATTTATTTAGGTTCCTCTCCAACAGTAGCAACATTACAAAAAATTCATTTATTTCTGTAACTGATAATTATTTTCAGCACTGGTGTTATCTTAGTTGTTTTAATGAGGCTTTTCTTTTTTAAAATGATGAATACTGCTATCACTATATCGCTATTCATATGCTGATGTTTACTATATATGATGTACAATCCTGAATATAGTCCATTTAGAAATGAACGTGCACAAAAACATTACCTTCAGTAGCCTGTTATTCCACAAAGGTTGTGCAGGCAGAGAGAAAAGCTTTTCAACTCCACCAGTTTCTTTCCACATCATCAGTTTCTTAGTAGGAGGTGCCAAGTCCAAAGTAGTAACAATATCAGAGTAGTCACTTAATTGGGCTCGAATAGTCTTGCTATCCAGTTCTTTCACACTGTCCACAATCAGCTTCCTCTTCCTCTTTGCTTTGGTTTCCTTGACTGTTGAGATTTTTAGCAAGCAATGAAGGTTAGCTCAAACAGATACCACACTGTAGAATAATCCTGCAGGTTCTCTATAGGTCTTATTTGCCCATGTATAAAGCTGCCTCAAGAATCTATGGCAATGTTAGCTTTGGGAGAAGGAATGAAAAGCTATAAGCACCTTGAAAGGTCAAACACTACGAATGCTGTCCCATAACTGACAAATTCTTGTGTATACTTCTGTGTATATATATACATATATAGTTCTACTGAATCTACCTAAGCCTCAATGACCTCAGCCACACATGCCTCCCTCCCTTATGGCTTGCCTGTCAGGCTGGTGTTCTTCAGGAACAACCCCCCAGGTGCCTCTGACCAAAGAGTCAAAATACCACACCAAGTTTTCCCCTAAGCCCTATCTGAGTTTTGGTAGTGTTAATGTGGGTGGTTATCTTACCTGTACCTCTCATCCTGCTCTAGAATGACTTTACTGTACATTGCTTACAGCCTGGCACTCTGCAGCAGACCCTGAAGCTCTGGCAAACGCTGTCTTTGCTGGTTGCAGCTGACCAGCTAGGACCTCTGGTGCAAGCTTGCCGCCAGAGGGCAGCGCTAGGGCCCTTTAACTGGCCAAGCAGTAAATCAGGGCCTGGAGTTCAGTCTGAAAACACAGGACAAACTACATTTTTTCCAGATCTTATTTTTTTAATAAAGCAGGGATCTCTTTATAATGAGCCAAATACACTACCAGTTAAAATAAGAAAGTGTCTTGCATTAGAGAAAAAGACAAGGAATCTCACTATTTAGTAGAACTTCAAATACAAAGATGCATCTCCTGAATTCTGCAGTTCATTAAAGCTATGAATCACTAGAACAGTACTCATTCTGAGTGTAAACAGTCACTCCTGGTCATCAAACAAAGCATATTAAGAACTGTACTACACTACAGATAATGTATTAAAGACATGATGAGTTCTATTCCAACTCATTGTATTTTGACTAGCATGCTTACCAAAAGCTACAGTATCATGCCACTGTACACAATGACTGCAGAGACTACAAACTAGTATACTCCAAGACCACTGAGGTAAGTTACCTACCTGGAAAGTACTGGAAGGCTACCGTTAGAATAAAAGGAATTCAGCACTTGGTCCCTGTTTTCCAACTGAGGAGTAGAGTCAGCAGCAGTGCTAGACATTCATTTCCACTCCATCAAGCTAAGGTGGTCTCTGATGACCCACACAAAATATTACCAAACAGCTTACTCACCAGTTATGTCAATAGGCTCCAGAGCAAAAGCTTCCTCTTCATTGGGAACAAGCGTTGTCTGATCAGTCATAGTTGGTAACGGTTCAACTGGATCTACCGAGTCCGGGCTGTCTGGTCCACCCACTGCCAATGAGAACAAGTATCTTGCACTATGTCAAAACATTAAGAAACTGTGCTACCCTTCTCATCCCCTCCTCCACACCTTAAAAGTGGTTTACCACATTTCATACTTTTGAGCTCAACATGCTTTTAAGGAATTAGAATCTCGATTAAATTAGTTGAACACAAATAATTCCAGATCTAGCCCTAGATCGTACTCACTTGATACATTATCATCATCATCCATATCATCGTGGGGAGGTTGCTCTGGCATCATTACTCCACTTTCCGAGAGTGCAGGTGGGTCATCAAAAATACCACCATCATTATTACTGAGAAGTTTGTCATCTGAAACAACCACATGAAAGAATCAGTTTTGCATCCACAAATTCATGAAATAAGTATAGACAAATTTATTAAGTACAGACAAATTTATGACAACACAGATAAAGATAGTGCAAAGGCTAGAGAAACCTACACTTTCAATGCCAACACAAAAGCAATTAGTAGTGCGTTTTCATGGCACATCTCAGCTTAAATTTTGAGCTTACAGATAACCTTTATTACAATACACTTGCCACATATATGCATCTTACTGTTTCTTAGTATTTCACAGAGAAGCACTCAATACAATTCTCAACACACTAATTAAACTCTTGGAAGGAGTCAAAGAACAAGAAGAGTTGCATATTGATTTTTCTCTAAAGAACCTTACATTTAGAATGGAAAAACTCTGATGATTTAATTTTACTTCATTTGAAATATGCCAACGCTTAACATGCCACACATCATCTATACTGCTGTAGCACTCAAAACAGAATTCCACTGCTGAAGGTGTAACTTAGAGAGGGACCTTGGCAACAAACAAAAGAACCTGCCCCCATCCCCCCAAGAACCAATTACTGAGGCAGAAGGTAGGACAGATGAAAAATAATTTCTCAAACATACCCAATATTCCACCATCATTTCCTTCTCCAAAGTTATCATCTTTGTATTGGTCTTCATATTCCAGGTGATTAGATTTCTCATTGAGGTGACTGGTGCTCTGTTCAGGTTCCAGTAGGAGATTGGAAGCACTGGTGCTCACTAGCATGTCATCCTCAAATGCACTACCTTCTCTCATCATCTCACGATCATCCATCCCAAAGTCACCTGCAAGAATACAATTTCACTGCTATAAATGCTAAAGAACCAAGATGCAAGACACCTAGCTAATCAAATCAGTCAAGGCCCAAATGTAAGACTAAACTTCATTTCAAGTTATCTCTATTGCAGAGTTAATGACAAGATGCAAGGAATTATGCCCAGCAATACCACAGCAAAATATACAATTATATAAATAACGATCTCCTCTTCAAAGCACTTTATTACACTTATTTGAATTGATTTTTGCAAGATCTTACTAAATTTTAGCTTGACTGAAACCAAAGAGTTCCAAGGAATTCAAAGAAGTTGTACCTTACGCCTCGAGGTTGGGCCTCATGTATAGAGAGCAAACCAACACCATCATCAATACCTAGATTATACTTTCAAAAAGATTACTAAGTTATGGATTACATTATTGTACTCTGGAAACTAAATATTCAAATACAACTGTCTTCAGGCTTTGCTTCAGATCTTAGAACACTGTCCTTGAAAAGATACTGAAAGAAGTAAACTAGCCACCACTGAGTGCTTCAGCTTTAGAAATCTAACAGTTCCTGACTAAAAACAGGCCTACAATTAAAGCAACGGCTGACTTCATAGTCACACCACATTTTGAAAATTGTAATTGACATAGTACTTCACTAATTAACCTGACTGAATATTCTTCAGCTTTATATAGGCAGCTAGAAGCTTGCTGAATATTAGAGGACAGGCTTTTTGGAAAAACTGACACAAACAAACTCAAAATTAAACACAACATGTTTGATCTAATTTGTTTTGTACTTAGTGGGAATTCTGTAGTAATTGCAAAACCATAACTTTACAGTTACCAAAACTAGCTTAGTTACACATAATAATACACGAGATTTTTACCGAAGTCATTATCCTGGAGGATACTGATGTTGCCTACTTCTTCTCTCATTGTAATTTCTTCCACTCTACTCTGGTTCAAACTGAACTGCTGGGCCACATCAATATCACTTAAACAAACAAAAGGCAATTATTAAAAATCTCCATTTAAAAAAAAACCCAACAACAACAAAAGAGATAAAGCCTGCTTAGAGAAATGTGAAATTAGTTCCTAAAAAGTACACCATACACTTGAGTGAATTAATGAAAAAGCTAATGGTGAATACAGAATAGAAAACACTACTTAAAACAGTAAGACCATTCATGGTTAAAACCTACCATGCAAATTGTGTTAGCTTCTGGGAAACGTATCAGTAACCTCTCTTACTCCTTGCTATGTTGAGGTCACTAATTTTAAAGGCCAAATTAGTAAGTAAGAAAGACTTCCTCTCCTTGAATTTCAAAAGCTATTAATATAATTTATCAAAAAGCGTATCTAGTAACAGTACCAAGTTAACACTCTCTGTGATGTGTTAAGGTACGTTTCTTAGAAGAACAAAGAATTTTTATGCAGTTTCACATTACTATATACTCTAATTTGAATATAAACCAAATAGAACATAGAGTAAAGCAAACTGTATCCCACTATGAATAATCCAAAAGGGTAATATTAATTTTTTAAAGATCAAGAACTATTCAAGTTGTATACTTGTTACTATGTTTACAAGTAACCTATTAGTATTAAAAAGTTTAAACACTTAAAAGTGCCACTACAGGAGGTCAACAAGGACATCTCCATAAAACTAATCTTGTCTAACCTGAGAGCGTACGTGATGCACAGCACCTTGCATACAAGAAAAAAGGAAATTATAATACAGATCTGAGTTTTTCAAAAGCTTCTGCAAGGACAGGTTTAACTTCTGTTAAAATTACTTAAAATCAATACAAAGATGATTGCATACTTGCTTGGTATATTACATGACTTAAGTTACCTACAGATTACATTTTAATTCAGCAATGAGTTTACTGTTTAAAACCAGGTTCTCCTCAACTAAAACCAAACATCATTTGCATGGAAATACAAAAAACAAACCTAGCTTACTCTAGATCAGGAAGTGGTTGGTCAAAATCATGAAATTCCTCAGGTAAGGTAATAGCATTGTAAGCAGCCTCTCTGTTTTCCTCAGGCAAATCGACAACCCCTGCAGAGAAGAACACTCAGACATCAGTTCCCGTTCCTTCAAGGACAGAATTTTTCTCATGCCTTCAGCATTGTTCTCTCTGCATGAGCTTCTTGTCTTTAAATTGTTGAATGGAACCAATGCTAGACACCCATGAAAAAACCTTAGATAATGTTAGTATTGAGTCTAAATTCAAAATATATACCTTCAAGACCTTGTACTGTTTTGTATAACCCTGGAAGCCTTGAATCACTCAACGATGTTTATGTAGCTCTGCATTGTGCTAACCCAGGCATTGTATGTCATCACAACACCATGCAAGTACCTGCTACAAAATAATTTTATCATGATGCTCCAGACGAGCTAGTTAGTCCTATATTTTGATTTGGGTAAAGCAGCAGCAACAGAGTATGACTACTTTGCTACTGCTCATTTAATCAGTTCAATTAGCTCTGAAAGTCTCAGCACAGTACTGACTGTACTTGGGCCACACAAACTCTTAGGCTTCTTCATTTAAAAGAGCTGGATTACCTAAACCACATACATACCTTGTCTTATCCTCCGATATGCTTAATCTGCTATTCAGCAGGCATTCTCAGAGCATGACTATCAGATTAGGCATCACACAAAAACAGTGCCAGTAGTTGCTGCCTTTCTTATTCAAAGGCTTAGAGGCCAGGACTCTTGAAAGTACATGGGAAATGCAGGCTCAATTCCTTTTGTAACTTGCAGAGGATTTGGGCTCTACGTTTTGCCTTCTGACCCACACAACACAGGCAATTCTGAGGTACAGATACTTCAGAAGCACTCTGCCCACTGTGTTCCCCTCCTCAATGGATAATCAAAGAACCACTGTTCAGAGAGACCTGGAACAAGCATGAGTCTGTAGTTTACTCATCTTGGTACTTGGCTAGGAATGAAGAAAACTAGTCCATCTTTTCAGGGCTACCCAGTATTTTTACCTGTCGGCTGCTTAAAATAAAATGTGTAAATAATTCTCAGAGCAGACAGGACCAAGACAATGCCTAAACCACAAAGCTGATAAACTGAGAACAAAGACAAGTGCCTCTACTTGTTTCAGGTCAGCATGCCACTTTTTGTAAATCTTGTTTCACCTTCCACACGCGCTTTGTTGCCAGCGGGAAAATTGGGAAAACATATTGCCTTGTGGAATTAGACAAATTTATGTGTTCTTGTCACCCAGGGAAGTTAAATGCAATAGTAAACAAAAAATTGGCAACAGTCAACAAATTGCCACTGAAAGTGACACAAAGTTCAATGCCTGAATCACAATGTGAAGATCAGGAAATTAAGATAAAGGCATTATATACCTTAAGTTTTCTCAAAGTTACTGTTGCACTGGATTTCAAGAGTTGCCTTCTAAAAAAGTCTTCCTTAAGTTCAGCTTTAAATTCTATTACACTCACAAACGTAAAAAGGTAGAATATGATTCAGCAGTTGTGAGTATCCAGCATCACTGGCCCAGCTGCACTCCAGCTGGGAAAAAAGTTTCCTAGAGCAGAATTAAAAAAAACTATCAACCTTGTGTAAACCAAGCAATTAATTGCTGGATGGAAATTTATTTCAGGTATTAATATGGCTCCCAATCTTAATGGAAAATCTTAAGAGTAAGCAACAGTAGAGGGGGAAGTTATGTGTTGCACATACAAAAGGGAAAATACCTTTGTTGCGCACATTACAGTTCACATTATTTCCAGAAACTAAAATTTGAAAGTGGTAAAAAAACCAGCTTACTTCTATGTTTCCTTAGTAACTCATGGCAAGGCAATCTTTACCCTTGATGGAAACCAGTTCCCTTCTGGGAGTACATCAACTGGCCTTTTTCAGACTTGTAACAGAAGGTAAAAACCATGCAGCATATTTCCATTTAACATCATACACCAACAACAGTCAAAATAATAATTGAGATTTTACTGAATCAGCACTAATAAGAAAAGGCTTTGTTCAGAATTCAATTAAAAGATGTTTTTCAGCATACAACTCAATCACACAGTCAGCCTGAAGCTGTGCTAAAGAAAATAACTTCTTGTATAATCCTGTATAACTTCATCTAATTCTTCTACAGAGATAGGAAGGTAGAATTGTACACCTTAATAAATATCATTATGTAACAACATAACTTTTCAGAGAGTGCTTAAGGACAGATACCTGGACGAAAAGCCATCTTAATCTTAATGAAAGCCTCATTACAGTCTGCAAGAAGATATTTTGCTTTTCTGTGGTAGATTCTAACAACGCCTAGTAAGAGATGTCCTGAGGTTCGAAGTGCCATCTTCACCTAAAAACATATTGCACAATTAGTGAATTAGATGTAGCCTTACTTTTTTCCCTTTAATGAAATTTCAGTCAGCTTTGCATGAGTTTTTCAGTAACACCAATTCTCCCAAAATAAGTATAAAAATCAGCAGAAAACTATAGAAAGAAAGAATGCAAAGGACACAGTTCAAGATGATACTCTACATATTATTTATGGATGACTTGGCAAATATCAGTAAATTAATAGCAGCTCACTTCAGGAATTCCCAAACACTGCTGTCTAGTAAAAAAAGAAAATATGACAAGACAAAACCCATTTTACCACATCTTTTTGACATCTTTGTTACTTTAATTGTGAAAAAAGTGAAAAATACTAAAATTTGGACAGCCATAAATCACAAATTGATTAAGTAAAATTTGGTTAAAAACTGTTACTTGTTACCTCTCCATCTTCTGTCCTGCAGTTAAGGAGAAAATCAGAGAGAAACAGTGGAAGATGTGGGGTGTCCATAAACAAGTACTACCACATTAAAACAAGATTAAGTTCCTTTCCTTTTTAACCTCACTGCTTTACTACATAATCAAGTATCTGCTGTGGGAACAGAAAACTGATTAAAAAAATCCACAGAAGGACTCTTCTTCAGTACTTTAGTTTGAAAGAGCATAAGACTTGTGTTGAAGGGTACACAGAACAATTGTCTCCCAGAAAGATTATGCCAGCCAGGGTTTAACCTCAAACTCTAAGAATTCAAAATTGTTATTGCATACAATGTTTTTCTAGTATCCCAGCTGATGAAAGTGTTACAGAAAGTTAAATACATGAAAGAGTGCCTATCAATTCCTCCTTTTTCTAAAAGAATGCTGCAGTTCACTAGTGAGTTCATGAACATTATCTTCTTTCTAAATCCTTCCAGAGCTGACACTGAAACAAATCACTGTTTTGGAATAGCAAGTATCTCTGTGATTATACTACACATTTTTTGTTTATACTTAGCAGTTCTTCCAAAATCCAGAGCGGCATTATAGGAACGCTGTTATATTTGTATCAACCAAAAGAAAGATAAAAATAAGTTTACTTTCTTTTTCAAATAGTTGCTTTTCTTATAAGACATTCAGACATCTGTTAAGTGACAAAAGTCAACACCATATCACTCCACTAGTTCTTAAATGGAAAATTTCATTTTCAGAAGTAGTAGAGGAAAAAAAAAACACATTTAGGGACCCAAGTTCCTCAAAATTTCCTCTGGTTTCACAATAGCCATCCAGAAGTGTTATGTTCTTTCAATTTTGTTGCTATCTATTCACTTCCAAGAAAACCAGAGACTACAAGCTTCAAAAGCAAGGCTTTTACACTACAGCGTAGCACTTTTATTACATGGAAAACTATTCTCATGTAACCAGTAACATTACAAACTACCACAATACTTCAGATCTTTTTGCTGTAGATAAGCAGAAACATGCTTTTAACTTAGGTCACAAGCATAAACAAGAGTATCTTAAGTATTATTTCTACAGCTCCCAGTAACAACAGCACTGAAAGAAAAGAGTGTCATCATACGGTCTTTAAAAGTTACTTCTTGGAAAGCTTGGGCTCTCCTCTCTTCCAAACATTTGCTTCTAAATCATGCATAACACATCAAGATACAAGTCCTCCATTTATACAAAGCAAGACATTTGTAACTAAATTGCATGATACTTTAGCATTAGAAAATTGACAAGAAAATACTCTCTGGAATCAAAGAGTCAATAGAGTATTTCACATCTGAACAGACCTTTCTGCCCTTTAAATTAGCAACATTACTAATTTTATTTGTTTCAGTGACCCAAATAGTAACTACCACCTGTACACACCATTTCTTTTCACTACAAGATAACATTACATCAGTGTAAAATAGATACCTTTGGTGAAATGATACTTTCCACACTGCTCTCCAGATTGCATTCAAAAACATGGGCTTTGGTTAGCTTCTTATCCCAGTGGGCCGCCAGCCAGATTTTGGCCAGCGGCCCACGCTTGCTCAGGACAAAGTGGGCATAGAACATGGTCCCAGATGTCTAAAACAAAGTGCAAACCTGTAAAGAGAAAGCCAAATTTATTCTTTTTCTAGAAAAACTTTCATGAGGCACATCTTTGTAAATACACCCCTTATCCATAGTATGCAAAGCACATGTTTGCTTTTCAATCATTAAGGTCAGACCATTTGTATAAAATATTTAAGAAGCCAACACTTAGCAGCGGTGGCCATGTAATAGCATATATATTTACTGCAGAGGAAATATAAAGCAGGAAGAACAGCAACCAATGAGCATTTCCATAATTTAAAAACGTTTACTATTCTGCAAGCAAAAAAACCTTTGAATATATTAGACTTTATGGTAATGATACCAAACTCATATAATACAAACACACACATCTTAGAGTTTTCAGTCCACAGTAGTTTTCTGCCACTTCCATATCTCTTTATACTTCAGGACCTACTACTATACTACACCAGTATATACTTTACATTGTTTCAGTAAAACATTCAGCATTATAAAATACAGAACCCTAAACTTTTTGGAATTAATCATATTTTCTTAAACAGAAAGTACAACTGTATCTTCATTTCTTAACAGACTGCTCTGCCTTTTCATAATCCTCTCAGTAACACTTCCCATTTTTTACTCAAGTGTTGATAAAAATGGTAAGTAAATTGACTGCATTATTCCAAACTTCCTGAAGATTTCATTTTCTTTCTCCTTTACCAGACAAACAGACTTCCTTTTATCTATTTACCTAGTAATCTCCTTCTTAGGGCTGATAAGATGCCAACATATCAAACCATGGGGAAATAGAACAGCATGACACCTTACGATCTAAACATGACAATTTCACGCATGAGGTAAGTATGTGATTCAGTTCAACTACAGGTTGAGAAAAGAAGATTGCTGCTTTAAAAAGGTGGAAGATTCTCCACAAACAGTTTTTTCTCCAGCAATATCCATAACTAGGGAAAAAGAAATGAAAGAGAAGAAAAGGAGAGATGCAAGAAGTGCATTTCAATTTTCACCTCCTCCATGCCCACAGAAAAACTGCCAGAGGAAGCCCAGCAACCTAACAGTAAAAGCAGGGCAGTTTAATCTGGGAAGAGCCAGTGTGAGGAGCATCAGTTTCTAGCCATAAAAAAACCAACAGTGTTTCCCAAATGTATGCCAACACAACTTATAAGCAAACAGGGAACACACGGAAACACAAAGCATTGGTAAACATGACAGCTACAGATATGATTCTCAAAGTCAATTCCTAAACCATCCCGATTTACTTGTAGGTAAAAGACACAAGTTTTAAAGCAGCTACAGTACAGCTGTTGATATTTATAGGGTATGCTTCACAAAAAACAGAGGAGAAGCACAACTGTGACTGCTAGAAAAATAAGTATGGGGCAAGAGAAGCACTGCCATTACCGATTCGGTGGAAGCCAACCTCTAGATATCTGGATAATAAATGAAAAACTGTAGATCTAGGAGCAGATATCCGAAAGTAAAGGCAAATAAAAAAACCTTTTTTTTTAGGGAGGGGGTGACTTGTTTTAAAAAATGGGATTTGAAGGAATATAAAGGATAGGGAAATTATCTTTGTAGTGGTACCATACTCTGTACTTGTACTCACTCACAGTTCAACATGCAAGATGATGAAAGCTCTGAATTTCAGCTGCATTAAACAGAGAACAGAATTGTCTGGACAACAGAACTGATTATCAAGCTTACCTGTCTTAATAACAGACTGGCTACTGATTCTGTTCATAACCAAGAATGGACACAGTGGAGAGGATTTAAAGGAAATAAAGGCCATGCTCAGCTTCAGCTCGAGTTAACGCAGTAGATAAAGGATTAAAACTACTCTTAGGAGTGAAGTTGATAGTTTTTTGTTAATCTGCAGCTTTGTTATGACTCAAAGTTAAAATGCCATTTTTATTTGTTGAGATTGTATGGGGGCTAAGGACCACACTGCACAAAGATGGATATGAGCAAGTTTTTCTAGGAAGAACACTGAAACAATTTTGGAAGTCTCCTTGATCAATAAAAGTTAAAGGAAGGTATTCTACTTCCCCGACCCCCCGGTGCTTTGAAAAATCACACTATCTCAAAGGCCAGGAGACAATTCAAACCCTTGTGCTTTTTCAAAGGCCTCGCAGTATTTTTGTTTATATAGAGACATAACTTTGCACCACAGCTTTTTGATATTTTGAGTTGCGACCACAACCATGCAGTGCTCTGGTAACAACAAGCTTGTAAATTACCCCTAAATATGAGGAACAGTGGAAAACACAAACATACATTTAAAAAAACCACGCATATTACTCCTCTAAAAACTTTAAAGAACATTTGCAAAAGAACGTACTTTGATTCATGGAGTTTGGCACAATTATTCACCAACGTTTTACAATCATTAACATATGTAGCATGGACTTCACAAAACTTCAAACACACAGTTAACTGTAACCCTGAAAATATACTGAGGATTTCCTGTTAAATGTGCAACATACTATTTGGACAACTCAGAAAAAACTTATCACTTTAAATCCCAGATAGCAAGGGTAATGCAAGAGTAAGACAAATAACTATCTAAGATATCTAAGACGAAGCAAGGTTCCCCAAAAAATAAGGTGTCAAGATCACACCAAGGCTAATGATTTCACAACAATTTATTTTTTTTTTTTTTAAAACAGACACATTGTTGACTTCTGTCTTTTAAAGAACTGACAATCCAAGTCAAAGTACTCCCCATACAGGGGCTTAACATATGTAAATGGATTTCAAAACATATGCTTCGTTAGCAATTAAATCAAAGAATAGAGGCTGAAAACCACTGCACTAAGGGAAGGCACAGAAACAGTAAGTGGTCACCTGTATTTGTGGTGTTTCCTAGGTTTGACTACCACTCAGTACCGGAGTTACGGATCAAACCTAAAACTTGCTTGTAAGACTAATAAGAAGATTATATTACATGTGCAGGATACCTAAACTTTTGGAGTGAGTAAGAACCAAAAAAAAATAGCTTCTGACAGAGGTCTCCTGTTTCTCCTCATCCATTAATGAAGCCTTGCCACAACAAAATACATGAAGAGAACAGCGACAATCAGACTACAGATAGTTTTAAAGTGTGTTTTAATCTGAACTGTTGTTAACAGATAATACCTCTATTCCCTGAAACACTAATTTCCTGTAAGAATACGAGTCTCTGTCACTTTCAAATTCCAGCAGATGCTCTGCTTTGTATGGCAGTACCTGGGTTACAGCAACTGTACAAAGCCCACCTCTACGGTTCTGGACTGCAGCAGTTCAGCTACTGTCATTTAGAGCATCAGCCCAATTGTTTAAAGCAGGCCCCAATGGTCACTCTCACTTTCTCCAGATTTTTTTCCTTCTTCTCAGATAATCCTTTTCCTTATTTCAGGCTTTTTGTCTGATCTTTAATTCATAGGGCAAGTATGCTGATGCAGCGGCACAAAAGGAGAAGAAATAGATCTTCTGGCATAATTTGAGACTCAGATGAATGTTAAAGGAACTAAGAGTTTCTTGGAGCAGCACAGTGCTCATGCAGACATGTAAAACATATGTCGTTGGCTGCAAAAGCAACTCATAAGAATCCTCAAAAGAAAAAGGGTAGCTGATGGCTCTTAAAAAGCTTGTAAGGTAAAATATAACTGTTAATTTTTGAAATTGACTGACTATGAACCAGGACCTTAAAACTTGTTCTAAGAACTTACTCATTTTTCTGTCTTGCTTGCACTGCTCTGAGGCAAAAATAGTATGTACTCACACAAGACCAGGTGGGACCAAACCCTGATCTTGCCAAATTGGGCTTTTAAAAGACTTTAAACTTGACTTTAACTTTGAATTTGCTTCAATGTACCACAATTGTCCTTGGGTTACTCTGTCTATATTGGCTCTCAACAATCGCATAATCTTATTTGAAATATTTTTCCTTCTGTAGAAGTGTAAAAGAAGGCTATAGTTCTATACACAAAGTAACTGGTTTCGTTTTACGTGTGCAATACAATACAGATAGCACACAGGGTCTGATCCAGAATCTGTTTCATTCTCTCATCTAAGTATCTGATAATTGATCCTCGTGAAGCAGCAACAAGAAAATTGGGTAGATGCTACCCTACGAGCTTCATCTTAACCATCAATTCACAAATATTTAAGTCTTAAAATCCTTCTGCATATTAGAACAGCTATCTAAACTCTGAAAAGCACTCTCGCATAGCTTGAGATCCATCCTTCAAGACAGTCAGAAAGAAGCTTAACGAATCAACAGTCAACAATAATATTGCAGACAACAGATAGAATATTCACCATATTTTAATTTGTCAGTGGTTCACTCTAGTCCATTAAATCCACTTGCCTGTTGCTCTGCTAGATCAGGTTATGTATACACACACCAGTTCACAGGTTAAGTTCAGTCTTCAATTTTTTTTAATTGTCACCTACTTTTGTTCCTGTTGTACAGCTACTCCAGAACCACATTCATCCACTGATCAGCAGAAAACTTCCATACTACAGGTTAAAAACCAGACAGACATTTTAATTAATTTGTTCTTATGCTATCCCCTTCAATCTCTCTTCTTTGCTGGTTTCCCCCCTACACACATATTTTCATCTGATGCTGTCTCTGTTTCTGTTTTCCTAAGTGAAGCCGGCCCTGGGTAATCCGGGGAAGAGTGAGCTCACCCTGTGCACCTGCAGCAGTTGGAGCTGGCCCTGCCGGACTTCAGAAGTCCAGAAGGATTATCCTGACCCTGCAACTGTACTTTGAATTCTTCAATTTTAACTCATAATCCTTCACTATACAGTCCTCCTTACATGTCTAAAACTTCCCTAGTGCAGATACTTACTAACATTGTCTCACTAGTAGGTTTCATTAGTATACTGAACACCTGGTGCCACTGAAAAAAAAAAATCATCACAGGATCAGTTTTCACAAACTCCACTAATAACTCCTTATAGCTCAATGCCTCTTTTCAGCACTACCTTATTTCATCTCCTTCCTTCAACCACCTTTATAATTCTCTGGTTAATCAGTATTTTCCT